TTACCATTGTTTTTCCGATTTAATTTTAATAAATCTGTCATTTCATTTCATTATTGAGTTGTTTGTTGTCCTGAGTCACTTCTATGCCAGTATATCCTACATTTCCTACTGAATCCTAGAATTATTTGTAAATTACTCTAAAAATAATGTACAAAAAAAAAAAATACTGTGCATTTAATTGGTGGAAATATTACCCCCACCATGGTACGGTCCCCCACCACCACCACTTAGTTTAATTGGGATTCCGCCCGTTCGAGCGCAGCACTAACGCTAGTCGCGAAAATTAACACGTAGTTCGGTAGTCCTGCTCTGGTAGTGTCTGCCAAAGAGGATGTATCAGTGTCAGCTTCATTTGGATTAAATCATTCCTTTCGTAAATACACTTACAGTATAAGTGTTACAACAACAGGGAATTAAGGTAATAGTGTCGATTTCAAGATGCCTGACATACCTATTAAGGAAATCGTACAGATTGAATCGCGAGAAAATAACAGCGAAGAAACATCTCGGGAAATTACGCAGACTGATCGTATAAACAAAAAATTATTGTCATCATTTCTCGAAAGACTCAATAACAGTTCAGATTTCGATCGATTCCGTGAAATTGGAGAATCGCAGGATCCTGAATCTGACGAATTTTCTGCTTAATTTTGTGCCCCCAATGAGACTTCTATTGGTGTCCTTGCGCGACTAAGAAGTGGGCCCCTTCCTGTATTTTCGCTTGCCTCGCAAGTATTATAGTTTGTATCGATAATTGGCGGGAGCCAGAGACCGGGAACAATATATAACAGGAGCAGAGCAGTACCTGTGTGAAATATCGGGAAAGGGTCGTGTTGATGAATCGCGAATGTCATAATGAGTTTATTAGAAGAATTATATTCCGAGGACCTAATCGGAGATCCCGAAACCTTAGATGAAGTCGAAGAAAGAGGTGAACCATTATTTTTGGAAGGTGAAGGAAATGATGATGCAGCAATCGGTGAGTCGTCATCCGGGAGTGTGTCAAATGATTATGTGCACATTCTTTCATTTATTCATTCAAATTATTTATTATGATGTAATTATGATCTCTTGTAGATCACGTCTTGCAGACTGTTCCTCAGTCGGATAATCCAGCGAAACCCAAAAGAAAAGTGGTGAAAAACCCTCAACCAAAACTAGATGCAGAAAGGTATGTAATTCGTGATATTGTGTGAAATATTATTATTGGGATTCCTAATGGTATTTTTGAATTATTTTATTATTTCTCAAATAGATTGAAAGGCTCAAGAGGTTTGACTGCATTGGAGAACATATTTAAAAATTATAAGTTTTGTGGTAAAGGCTATGAAAAAAAAGATTTAGATCAAATAATGAAAAGATTGGAACACTGGGCTCACAGACTTTTTCCTAAGTATGAATTTGATGATTGTCTTGAGAAAATGGAGTCCCTGGGACACAAGAAACCTGTAATGGTATCACTGATACAATAGTTATATTCACTTTACAACATATTTATGTTAAATAATCTTTCAGATGGATTTTTGCTTTTCAGGTATATGTGAAAAAGATTCGCATGGGCTTAGAAACAGCTGAATCATTAACTACTGAGCCAGTAACACAAGATAATGATCATCTTGCATTGCCTTTAGATCCTTTTGATGAACTACTTGGCCAACAAATTTCTGAAATTCAAGGATCCACAAGTGTTGGAATGCCACTACAAAGCTTTGCTTCATCTCAATCCAGCATTCCAAGTTCACCACAGCTTACTAAAATTGTAAACTATTTTGTATTATTACTATTTCATTTCAACTAGTGTGTAAATTTTTCTCATTGGAGTCTTGGTTTTCTTTCTTGCATGAGCTGTGCATAATCTCGATCAGGTTTTGTTTAGTTTCTCTGGTCCTTTGAGCAAATGCTGAGATGGCCCCTTGTTTGCTCCTGAACAGTAATGTAACTTCACTCTCTCCACCCAAGGCATCATATTGACTGATCATACACGATTGTAATTGTATATGTGACTCTATTATTATTATTATTATTATTATTATTATTATTATTATTATTATTATTATTATTATTATTAGTTTTGATCCACAAACATCTTCATTTTTTCCAATATGGGATGGAAATATACCACCTCTTGCTCTGGAAAATGATACATTAAATTCTATCAGTTAACTGCCATGCATAATAATTGCAAAGGTCAGTTGTAAACTACCTCTGTGCTACTCAATCACTACATGAAAATGAAAACCAGCACTCTTTCAAGAAATAGGATTCATATTCCATATTGCATGTTTTATAATAAGTAATACGATACATTGTTAGTTTTTATATTCATAATACAACAAAGGCAAAAGTGTCACAGAAAGTTACAACAACAACAAAAAAGCCAAAATCAGCTCTAATTTTGAGTAAGTTTGTACCCTTGTAATTCTGTACTTTAATGACTCTTCCAATACTTGTTTAGCTACTTATGGCAATTTTGTCTTGCGAAATAAAATCTTACTCTTCTTGGAAAGCTTCCCTTTCTGTCACAAAACCTGGAAAATGAAAAGCAGGTAATGTATTTGCTATGGTTATTTGTACAGTGCAATGCAAGGGAGATTCAATTCTGTATTGAATTGAATTTGAATTGAATGCCTTATTTTACGTGGCGAGACTCAGGCCATTAGGCCTGCTCTTCCGTCTGACCACACAAATTTCGCTACGCTCCTTTCACCAACTAGCGGAGAAAGGAGGTGTATCTTGGGTGAGAAACAGGCGATTTGAATTTAGCTCAGAGGCGTCATTTAGGCTTGAGGATCTTTTACATGCAAGTAAATGTACGAACATGGGACAGCCGGCTTTACTTCCCCTCCGAAGGAAGGCGTATGAAGGATTTTTTCGCCCTTAAAAATTTACGGCTTCGATCGGGTTTGAACCCGCCAACTTGGGTACAACAGTCCAGTACGCTAACCGTTACACCATCGCCGCCGCCTGTGTATTCTGATAGTTACTGCATAACATAGCAGGTATTTGCATGTTAACACTTTTATTCATGATGTGCAGCATAATACAAATAATTTTGAAACGTAGCCTAATACAGTTGCCTGGCTCGTTCTTTATCCAGCTTAGAAAATTACATGAAAAAGTAGTGCTTATCTTCTATAAATGTAGGTTCTGGAATGTGCTATTAATTATGTTAAAGCAAATTCAATGTGTTAGTAATTAATACAATATAATTTAATAATTATAATTCATAATAATAATCACTGACTGGTAGTCGTGAATATGAATAAACCAAGTAAAAAAATTTAAATAATTAAAAGTGGGCTGTCCGGTTGATGGTGTGTTGCAGGCTGAGGTGCCTATGTTTCGACCTACATATCACTGTTTTCTTCAGGGCGTTAGTGCCTACACTTCTGCCCTGAAGAAGACTGTGTTGGTCGAAACGTCGGCACCTCAGCCTGCAACAAAGCGTCACCCAGACAGCCCAGATCATGCCTCTGCCCATGGAAACCTATGACATTATTTAAAGTTTAACTTTATTAGTGAATCGGATTGGTTCTTCACTAAGAAGAAGGTGGCCACTTTTTGAAAATCTGGGAATGATCAGAATTTCATTGCTCAGGAAAGGTCATGGAAAAATGTGGGAATTTGTAGAAGAATCTTTTGAAGGTAGGATCATTTTTCAGAGGCTTATAAAACTATTATTTCTTAAAATCATTAAATCATTAAATTTTTTCTTTCATTTTTTATTTGTTGATAACATATTGTTAATTTGTACTTTTTCAAACTGGCAAAATCACCGAGCTGTCCAATTAGTATGAGGCTGGCTTTAATATTATCCTTAAAAAGCGTGAAATTAACTTTCTTCTCAGGACTATAACATTCATGAGTTCATTAGTTTCAGTTCAGTCAATAACACTTTTATAATAAGATATAAATTGGGTGCCTAAAATCACAAATTTCGCAAGTGTATCTTTTTGCTATGTTTTATTGCAGGTGATGCTCAACTGTTCAAAATTAAATAAATATTCCTTCCGTGACAAACAGCAGTAACACTTAGAGCATCTAAAACAACCCAACAAGAAATATTTTTCTTAATATATTGAACATTATATTCGTTCTATTGAATAAATTTCTGACTTTTATTTGTGAAATAGAATAACTGAATTCCATTCATGATTTAAACAGACCATTTTCCAGAATTTTTGTTTATGAAATTTGAATAATGTTAGTGTTATTCTTCTCTTTTCTACTGTATATAAACTATGAACATTTTGTATTAAAACTGTTTTGGTACCAACTGCCACAAATGATGCGCTTAAAAAGTTTCAGTGGAAATACTTTTTTAAAATTACTGGTTCATTATGATATTAGGTTGGATTATTGTCAAAATAATCAATCCGGTGTAAACATGACTATAACGCTGGAAAGGTATAGTGTTTCACCTTTGTAGGTCCCTAGAGTGTTACTCCTCTGTGTTATGGGTGCCCCATCTCTCTCTCTGTTGGGGGTAAAATCAAGAAAGAATTTCACAGAGGAGGAGTCTATTTCAGTTTCGACCCCCATTAATACTTTTTCAAATAGTAATTTTTTCATTGTTAGCTTGAAATGAAATAAAAAATGACCAGTTTATTCATAATGGGAATATGGTTTTGAATGTGGTGATATTTTGGTATAAATACAGTAATTATTTTGAATAAATCTAGTAAAATTATATTGATGCTTCCTGGGGTGGGGCATGACTCCCTTTGTAGTTCATGGAAATTTGCGATCTTTTAATTAAGATTTACAAAAATGAATTACTTTTTGGAACTGTGAGCTTTGATCTTAATTTTGGAGTATATTATTATTACTATTACTGACTGCTATATGGTGCTTTATTTCTTTGGGAGTTTATACTGACAAAATGTATATCCATTAACTTCTTTTAGTTTATTTTGATGTATGATATAATTATTGTAGATCGCTTTGTTATTGCCTTTGGTATTCACTCAACATTTATTTGCCATTTTCTTATGCTATAGGTTCTAACGGATGAACAAAGAAAACGTATGGAAAAGAACAGGCTTATTGCTCAAGAAAGAAGGCTGCTTAGACTGAAGGAATTACAGGAAAATCAAAAGCAAAATGAAGAAAATTCAACATCAGAAATTGTAGAAGCAACAGGGGAAAGAAATGAAATACAAAGAAGCAAGGGTCAATATGTGCCTGTAACAGAACCAAATGAAGAAGGAAATGTGTCACAGCCAGTGGAGTCTATTCCTCTCACAGCTGACAAAATTCCAGAAATGGGAGCAGAAAGTTTCAGGATTATTAATAAAGAAAATTCAACAACAGAAATTTCAGAAGCAACAGGGGAAAGAAATGATGAAATACAAACAAGCGAGGGTCATGAAGTTCCTGCAACAGGATCAAAATCAAATGATCAAGATTCGCAGCCAGTGGAGTCTGTTCCCCTCACAACTGACTGAAATCCAGAAACTTTTAGTTATTAATGAAGAATTTGAAGTAATTGAAAAATGCAATAGTCTAAAAGGAAAATGAATAAAATATTTTGTTCAAGTCCTACCAATATTTTCATTATGAAAATTTCTCATGATTGTTTCAAGTTTCTATACATTTGTGTTTCTCATTATTCATGTATATTTTCATTTTATTAAAATTGGATTATATTCACAAAATTAATTAAATTATCTGTGGCTAACATTATCAAATTAGCTCTTTTAAAATTGTTTTTGTCAAAAATTATTTATGTTCATATACATTAAAATTACTTCGCTTATTTTTGTTGCTTCATCCTCTATGTAAAACCACAACACCCAAGCTGAGTTAAATACTGATAATTTAAAAACAAAAATATTTAAACATGTTGGTTTTCACTGTGCCAATAAAACTATTGGTGCTACAAAATGGCAGAGGTCTTCATACTGTAGGGGACTTCTGAAAGAATAAGAACAAACCATTGGCTTATACTTAAACAGTTCACTATAGTGAAAAGTTTTGTTTTGAATATCTAAAACAAAGGTAACAAATTTCATTAAAAATGTTTGAAATACAATTCCTGGAACAATGGAGCAGTACATTCAAAAGGAAGCTTGCATGTACAATCGTGTTATAAGGTTACTTTGTGCATATGTAGTGATAATGCTTACAATATTAAACAATTTCAACTGAAATGGTAGAATAATTTTTTTCCCTCTATTTAGGATCCATAATTAATTTTAATAGTAATTTATCAAATTGTAATCATTTTTAATAAATTAAAGTAATTGTAATACTGTTTTTAATATTAATCTCTACTTAAAAGAAGTAGGGTCTTAATGCAAAAATAAATATCTTTAAAAGTTCAAAAAGACACTCAATTAAATTTATTGTAGCAAAGTACATTCCTGCACTGCAGTTTTTGGAATTACAAGCACTCGACATCAAAAAAATTCATGCCATTAATATTGTCTTTGTCCACCATGTGCTTTCATTACTGCCTGGCATTGTTAGAATTTAAATTATTAATAAATTGCTTGCTCAATTCTTGAAATCACACAGCCACAAGAGACTCAAGTAGTTCTATTTGATTTCTACATTTCTTTTTTGTCGCTGCATTCCCCAAAAAATTTTTAGTTTTCAATCAAATTTGAGATGAGGGCTATTGCCAGGCCGGTGTAAGATGTGCACCCCATTTTTTGCAGGAAAGATTTTACCTAAAATGTAGAAATGTGTACTAATTGCTTATATTTAGTTTCTGCCCTATCCACTACAAATAGCATTCACACAACTTATGAAAACACTGTGGCAAGGAAGAGAATTGTCTTGAAAATGGTCCCTAATAATTGTCATCAGCTTCATTTCAAGAATATTTTTTTTAAAAATTCTTAGTCAGTAATTCTGAAAGGATTTATAATTGTGAGGTAGTTAAATTGAAATAATGCAAGTGAAAATAAAAAAGATATTTCATATAAATAATATTTATTTGTAAAATATGTAAATACACATCATATACCAAAAAATACAATATGCATAAAGAATAAATTCTGGCCAATCATCAAGTGCCACACTAATATTAATTTCACTGCAGCTAAACAATACAAACTATAGCCAAAAAAACATACAAATACCTACTTAAAATTATATCTTTATATAATTTTCAGCCTTCCCGTCACCTTATTGGCTGCAAACGGAATGGTGACACTTATATACGTATGTAAAGTGTAACATGAAAACTGTTCAAAGGATTGGTTGTCTCGATACCTTAGTGGTCATAGAATCTGGGCGTGAACCAGAAGGCTTAGGTCCAAATCCTGGCTGGGGCCACCTATTCTTGGAAAAAATTGAAATAGTGAAATTATATCATTCATAAAAGAATTCTTAAAATAGTTGTTTAGCAGCTGTGAAGAAATATGTTTAGCAAATAGTGTACGTTTCCCGGTAACAATCCCATACTATTATACATAGGTCACAAGACACACGGTTAAGAAGACCTTTTATATGAGAAACAAATGTCTTCAATTTGGTACATATTATGTGTATACAAGTGAAACTAACTTTATTTACATTGCCAAGGCAGATTTCTTCTATTCTTTTGATCAGTGAAATATTGGAGTCTTGCGGCTTGGATGTACAGGAAAAAATCCATCTTCTGTGTTAAAAGAAAAGATGTTATTCCCTATGTAGGAAAATATATGGAGTAGATTTAACAGAATCTACTTCAAATTGATTTATTCCAAAATACTTTATAGACTTGTAAATTTGCATTCCAACAATATATTAATTGTCCAAAAGCACAGCAAGTTGCTCAATAACACACAATATCACATCATACACTCAGAATTACGTATTTCCTATTAGATATTGAATTGTTTTTAATTAAGATTTTCATTATTGTCTGTTCAGTCATGACATTTTTTTAAAACACTGTGATGCCAAACTAAATTGAGGGACATTAATGGTGATTAACACATACAAATAATTATCACTTCTCAAACACTGGCTCACTAATGTTTGTGCCAAGATACTCCCTATTATACTTGTCATTCCACCAAATGGAGAATGTTCTCATATGAATGTATTTATATAGATAAAATGCAAGAATAGTGCCCTTTATAACTTGCTTTCCAAAACATATTCATATACATAACTTTGTGACAATTTAGTCTGTTGCAGGTTTAATAAGAACGTATTGAAAGAAAACAACACAAGACTCTCAGAAATTCAAAATGTATGGCATGTCAATTTACATCCATGAGTTAATTCACATGCATACGTATTCCAAGCTTTTACACACAATTTGTATCAATTCTTAAAACATTCTTTGGAACAATGTAAATCACAAGCGGCGGCGATGGTGTGACGGTTAGCGTACAGGACTTATACCCAAGCTCGTGGGTTCAAACCCGATCGAAACCGTGGATTTTTAGGGCGACAAAATCCTTCGTACGCCTTCCTTCGGAGGGGATGTAAATCCGGCTGTCCCATGTTAGTAGATTTACTTGCATGTAAAAGATCCTCAAGCCTAAATGACGCCTCTGAACTAAATTCAAATCGCCTGTTTCTCGCCCAAGAAATAACTCCGTTCTCTGCTAGTCGATGAAAGAAGCGTAGCGAAATTTGTGTGGTCAGACGGAAGAGCGGGCCTGACGGCCCGAGTCTCGCCACGTAAAATAAGGCATTCAATTCAATTCACTCTTGTAAAAACTATCCCTAACCTCCAACTATATGCACTGAATTCACATTTGACACTCGCACAACAGCTCACATCCCAGCCTATTTGTTTGGTGAATGAATACATTTCACAGTAATACTAAGTAGTTTTAAAAACTGTCAAAAAAACATCAGCTTTTTGAATAGAAAAATTGGATCTGAATGGACCATGTGCAACACTACATACTATGGCATATCACTTGAAATCCAAAATTACCACACAGCAATACTAAAAGACGACCAAAATTGACAGTATTATATCACATATTGGAATAAATGCCACCTCCAGGATGTACTGCACCCTTTTCCAGCAGGTAGGGAAATGCCTGTAATACAAAAAGAGGTGTTATTAAAATTCAAGATGTGTAGTGCTGTCTCACCTTCATAAAACAAGGTTTCTGTACTCACCAGATCATGCAAAGAAGCCAGAATGAATAGAGGCTGCAATGTGTAAGGCAGGCCTGCAAATCAAACAGACAAATGATTGAGCTCAAAAAATTTTAAAGCTTTCTTATTAGTACACATAAATGCTCAATGAATGTCACTTACACTTGCTGACAAGCTTTCTCTAAATGCTCTGAGCGCTCCATTAGGCACCTCGGGGCATTGTCAGGACATTTTACTGGGGACTGCATTCCACACAACTGTTTTTTTCAGTCAATATTTCTGGCAAGATGTGCTCTATGCACATGTACCTCCTCCTGTTCATGTCCTCCATGGACAAGATGCCAGTGTCAGGTCCTAATTCCCATCAGCCATTTCATAAAACTATATTAAAAATTGTAAAGTATAAATTGCCAAGTATTGCAAATATCCAATTTAATGTTATTGCAAACAAAAATAATAGGACTACCCAAAAACTGAGAGGAACAATGTTACAGTAATTAATGCAATGTTGTAAATAACTATCTTAATAATATTAAACCATTCTTAATAAAAGTGCAAAATATTAATATCACTTATACTTTGCAAGTCTTGTATTTTTCGTGTCTATCGTTCCATTAATATGGCAATTGTGAAGCGAACAACCACGAAACTTCGGCATTTTCCTTCAAAATCTGGAATCTTCAAAACCACTAACTGCCGAACGTGGAGCCGAGAGATGGTTATGTACGTTCTACACAGGTTATATCAAAGAGTATATGTATCAAGAGTCTGTGGGCAAGACACTGCATTTCGCTTCTGAATTTGACGCATTAAACAAGAAATCAAAGCCAAGAAAGTTGTAAATATCAGTAATAATGAAAAATATGTATTATATTGTTTGATAGAGCACCACGGATTTCAATCCAACATCTACAACAATTACATCCTACTTCTTTACAAGTCTTTCTCTAAGAGAAACTTACATTACAAGAGATACGGAAATAAACATAGATCATATCGTATTTTCATAATGTTCGGATGGGCAAGTAATATACGATTTAATCATATATTAGCATCTGTCATTTTATAACCTAAATTGTGCTAAACACACATCGTGAAAAGTTAAATATCGAAATTATGGAAACTTCGATGACAATTCCTTTTTTCGGATTGGATATTTAGGCCTTGAAATCTTGTACAGAACAACGAGTATATATCAGAGACAGCACTCAATGTTAAAAGGAAAAGCCTTATTTGCCCAACTTCCGGTGCCGCCACATTGTATTGTTACAGGGTTATACTATGGAATACTACATTATTGCAAGCATTATGAATAACAATAACAGAATTGAAAAAGAAAAATGAAAATATTACGCACATTTGCTCAGGTAAAAGAAATAGTTATATAAAGGGGTAAAAGCGCATTTTATTTTTGGATCTGATTAGGTCACATGAACGTATTTTGTTTTCCTTTGTTGCTTTCAAAGCTTTTATCAGACATTTGAGCTTGTCCCTTTAAGCAGTTAGTGCAAAAAAATTAGCTCTTCAAGCATGGCTTGCCTGCCTTGAAAGAACGCCTTTACTAGTGTGCAAGCTAAAAATGTTTTTCATAGTCAATAAATATTTTGACATATTTTATTTACCATGCTAATCTCACACATGCACAGTTCAGAGCTGGATTTTATTAAAAATGGGAATCCACTGTGAAAGTACTTCACCTTTAAACACAATGATTAACAAAATAGTGGAATTCCATCAATGCTTATGCAATACAAATTTAATATAATTCTGAAAGTGAATAACTCGAAAATTCTCTGACTTGAAATCTATCCCATATTCAAAATCAACAAAGTAATAATTGAGTTCTTAAAGATTATGCAAATATTAACCTTTTTACAAAGGCTAAGAATAGCATTCTTGCTACTTGCTGTAGCAGCATGTTCAATCAGGCACTAGAACTGTATTAAGCACCAAATTATTCCAAACCATTTATGCCTTTAATAGTCATGCTTCTTTTTGCATTTTAC